TAGTTATCATAAGATTTAACTATTAGTAATATTTTGTAATTGTTTAGTTTCATTTAAAATGAATTTTGTCTGCCGTTTAAATTTTATTTCTTAGCAAATAGAAAAAGATTAGAATCAATCTTAACCTAAATTTAATAAACGACACTAAGGAACACCTTTCAACTAAATGATTCGGTGAAACAAAGAGGAAAACTTTCGAAGGAAGGATGAAGAAGAAGAAGGAAAAGGAGGAAGAGGGAGAATGAAGGAGGAGGAAGATAGTAACAATTTTTGGCAAATCCATATATCGGCTTTTTTCCTCTCCCTTATCCTCTTCCTTCTACTTACTCTAAATTTCCATTAAGTGATTTTTCTTAAATTTTAAAATTGTTAAATTGTTTGTTAAATTAAAATGTTAAATGTAACATTAAATTTTAAATGTTAAATTTTAAAATTTATCAGATTTAAATTTAAACAGAAAATAATACAAAAATTTGTCATTTGTTGAATTATCTTTTTTCCAACAATTTAAATTAGTCGACAATTTATAAGAATAGTTTCTTAATTTAATGACAAATACATTTTGCAACTGTTAAATATTACTGAGAAATTCGATTGCATCGATCACTTAATATCAGCTATTAATGAATTAACTTAAATTTAATATAATCTTGAAATTATCTTTCATTAATTTATAAATATTTTCTTTATATTTAAACTTTTGTATTGATTTAAAAGATTTGAATTTTGCAGCGTTCTACTAAATGTGGAAATATATCGATTATTAAACTTATTAGTTAAAAGATGATAATGATGATGATAAACGGAACTAATTATTATTTCAATATGTTGATTGATTTTATTTAAATTTTAATTAGTTATACCAATACTAAGACAATGACCTTACTTTTTTATGTATTATTATTATTATTTGCTTTCATTGATATTGATGTTATTGATAAATAATTACTGATACCAACATTATTAATTTTAATTAGACGAATGAAAGCGATTAACTTACCCATAGAAGCGATTTTTTTCTAAAAAATAAAATTAAAAATTTGTTCGTAATTTTGAAATTGATTAATGGCTCTTTAAATGATCGCTAATATAAATTTCATTGTATAAATTATCGTTTGAATATTATGTCTCAATGATAATTTCATATTTTTAAGCATTCAATCTTTCCTAAAATTCATTTGTAATGAAGAAAGATAACGATAAATTCTTTGTTTTGATTTCTATTTCTCTCTTTTTTTATTTTTATTTTTTCAAAGTTAATTTTAATATTTCAAAGTTATGCATTTTATAAATGTCAAAAGTAATAGATAGAGAAAAATTATGCTTAAAATTTTAATAGATAAAGAAATATTATACTTAAAATTTTGATATTATATTTTATTAATACTTATTCCTAAATACCTTTATTAAATAATGGCATCACAAATGCAACAATTATTCAATTGTAATTTCTTATTGAAAGATTTTTTAAATTTAAATTTTAAACGCTTCCAATTTCTTTTTTCATATACTGTAAGAAGTTTTTCTATTAATAGAAACTGTGACATGTAAAAAATTAGGTTAAAGATTTCCAACAGTTAGAATATTTTTAACTTTGATTTTTCTCAGGAAATATGAATCAAATTTAAAATTTTTTTAAATGAACAAATGAATTATTTTTAATAGCTATTAATTTTTAATTATTTTCGATTGTCACAACAATGTGAAAATACATTAATATTTCAGTGAGAGTTTTTAAGTATGAAATTTTCAACATTTTCATTTGTTTGAAAATTTTCTTATCTTCTGCATTTATCATTGCGTTTGTTCATTGTGAAATAATCATTAACAAGACCTAATTTATGATCACAAATACCTTAATTTCTCTTCCCTTTTTTCCCCTTCAATATAAACTGAAATGTTAGAATTTTTTTGAAAAATTAAAATTTAATTATTAATGAAAAGAAATTTATTACATTTATATTTAATTCTTTCACTAAAATTATTCTCAAATTATTTGAAGTTATTATTATTTGCTTATCGGTAATTAACAAAAAGAAATGATCGCATAGTTGGCAGTTATTACCAAATAACTTTCTTTCTGAGGCTGTCAATTAGATGAAACTTTCATCTTTTTTCTTTTTGTCTAAACATATTTGTATTTATTAGCCAATTTATAGATTTTGATGCTAAAATTCAGTCTAATTAATGTTTTTAGTTTGCATTTATTTCATTTTAATGATGTCAATAAAAAGTGGCTGGCAGAAGCTTTAATACTAAAATTGCTTCTTTGCGATTAAGCTCGCTATCAGATTTAAGTAGATTTTTAGTCTTACACAGATGATTATTTCAATAATCTTTTTTTATTGATTGCTTCTTGCCATTTTAATTTTTAGAAATTACAGCAAGGAGTTATAATTGCTATGATTTTCATCGCTTTCCTCATAATTTTTGATAATAATGATAATGATGGTGTTTATGATGATAATGAGGAAAGTGGTATTGTGATAGCAATGATAATGATAGTGATGTATTTGTGATGATAATGATGATGATGATAGTATTCTCAATGATGGTGATAACATTAATGATGATTGCGGTGATGAATTTATGTTGATGATGATAATAATGATAATTATTATTATGGTGGAGAATAATTATTATCAACTATTATCATAATCAACATCTAATTATTGTCGTCATACATTACTATCATTATCATTTCAATCGCTATAAATATCAGTTATCAAAATAAGTTCTTTTCTAAGCGTTACGAAGTTTTTGAAGTTTTAAATTGTGCTTTAATTTTTCTTGAATGAAAAATATTTGCCTTGGAATGCTAACATTTTTAAGCTCATAAATACTAAGTAATTTTTCATTGAAATGATGTAAATATGAAATTCATAAAGAAAGCATTTCTTGTAAATGAATCCGAAAAATAATTACATTTGAAAGAAACAAATTTGATATAATCTTTTGTTATAATGTATCATTGGTGGATCATATCAGATATTTTAGAATTTCAATGATATGTCGGATATTTTAAAACTTCATTATATGAGAAATTAAAGGTAAATATATATTACTTTTTGTTGTAATAATATGAAATGTTTTACTGCAGAAATTTTTTTAGTTGAAAAATTGATGCAAAATTTCAACAATTATTAATTTTACGACAGAAAATGAATTTTCGAAATTTTTTTATTCACTCATATTTCTTGAAATCTTTTATCCGATTTGTCCAAATTATCTTTTCCTCAATTTTCCTACGTACCTCTCTTTGTTATTATTTAATGATTAATTGGGCAGTTATTTTGCTTTTACTAAATTTGCTATTTATACGACAATAATCGGAATTTAAGTAAGCCAATTACGCATACGTACAGAAAATTTTTCACATATTAATATATAATAAAAATTTTCCAATATACATTAAAATAAATTATACGAAATGAAAGGAAATAATTATAAATCGTTGAATCGATGATAAAAGTCAGTGAAACATTGCAATATTAGAAATAGGGAATAATTAATAATTTGCTTTGTGTTTTTAAAATATTGATAATTCGTTGGAATTGGCTGTTCTTATTAAGAGGCCTGAAGTTATCGCCCCGTTATAGTGGAATAATATTATAATGAAACAATACAAAATTCCAGCGAAGTAATCATAATAATAATAATAATAATAATAAAATAATAATAATAAATAAAAGCAATTGACAATAATAGCGATAATAATAAAAAAAGAAATGAATTGATTTAAAAGATATTAGTAAAAAATAGGCATGATATATAATCTTGCAGCAATTTCAATTCACTTAAAACCGTCATATCAAATTTCCTTCACTTAAATGCAATTAGTGAATTCGTTTTGTTTTTCATTTTTATTCTTTTAGTAGATAAACAATCTTTTTGGACTTTTCAAAATTTTGCAATTCAATTTGCAAAGGTTCAGTAAGGGATTAATTATAAATTCAATTTTAAATTCAGAATCAAATAGTGATACTTTGAATTCTCAGTCTGCGATACTATTATTATTATTATCATTATTATCATTGTTATTATTATTATTAATTATTGTTATTATTGCTATCTTGAATTATCATTTTATTTCTACTAATCCCCGTCAATATGTGATTTTAAAAATTATTGCAATAATCAAGAAATTATTTTTAAAACGAAATGAACTAATATCAATGTACATATTTCCAAAAACGTGCCTTTCGATTATTTTTAAATATATTTCAAATTTAAACTCAAAAATTTTAGATATTATTTGCATTATATCTGAATAGTAATTCTTTTTATCAAATATCTCTGATAATTAGGAACAAAATTATTGGTCAATACGCATAATTGCAGAATTTTTTTAGGATAGTTATTATGGAAAATAAAAGAAAACTAAATTATTGCTTTATTTTAATGAAAAAAAAACAATTATAAATTCGTTGGGAGTGAAATTAAGAATGATTAGTATATGATATATGTACAGATGATTATTGTAATGCTATTACTAACTACTATTACCATTGATATGTCTTCCGTGTTGGTGACCTTCTTGTTGTTAAAAGGTCGATAAACTCATTCAATAGTAGTATCTGTCGTGTGATTTCCAGACCATAAATATCAATTTAATTTTAGCATCGTTTCCATCATACTCTTATCGTTCATATTTTACTTTATTTAATTACAATGTTGATTTGTAAAATTAAATTTGATTCCAATTTTTCGCAACCATTACTGATAAACAATGTAATATGATATCATTTATCATTCTGTGGTGCTATTTTAATTATTACTGATAACGCATACCTTTATCATTTCTTATTGTTTACTAATGCATGGCAATATGATAATGATTATTGTTCATTTATTACTCTAATCACTGTTATTTAAATTAACAAAATGCATAAAGATATTTCGTATATAAAATAATGATAAATACGCTGACTGATAATTAAAATAATAATTAATTTATCAATTTAAATTGCAAAATTTAATGAAGGAATATTTGCAGCAAAATGTTTTACTTAATTTTTCATTTATTGCTTGCATTAAGCGCAACTTATGCAATACCTCACAATAATCGTCGCGCATTAGGTAATCATTTTGTATTAATTTATTTCTGTACCTGAAAATTTATTAATTACGGAAAGTCTTATAAAATGAATAATTTCAAGATATTAAAATTGTGAATAAATTTTTAAATGAGTTCATAATTTGAAAACAATAAATTACTCATTGTAATTGTCATTCAATTAAATTATTTTTAAAGTTAAAACTAAAATTAAAACTTGAAAAGATTGTTAGAATTATCATTATTTTAAATCAATAATTCCATGAATCTTTCAGATGCTATAGCAACAACAACAACAACAACAACAACATCAAAACAACAACAGTTACCATCAAATTTTCGTCCAGCAAAACAAATCAATGGAGATCAATCAACACAATCAGGTCACATTCATTTCTCATCTGTCCCTTTCTTGTTTGAATGAAAAAATATCCATGCAAATGATTTTGTCTTTGTTTTTTTTATCCAATAATTATTTTAAAATCCATTTCGAATGAAATTATTGGACAATCCGATCACAATGTAAAATAATATATTAATAATGGAGAAAATTCAGAAATACATTATGAATTGTTTTCTTTTTTAAACTTTAAATAAATTGACTAATAAATTTTATCTTTAGAAATTTATGAATTATCTTTCAAATTTCACCCACAAAACTTATCAATCAATTCATAAATTTCATCTTTGATAATGAAATTTATTAAATAATTCGTAAATTTTATTGTTGCGATCGAAATTATAGAAAGAATTCTTGAATTTCATAAACAAAAAGCTAAAATTATAAAGTAAATTATAAGCTTTGCCAAAATTTTGTAATAATTTCCAAACTTTTTCTCTAAAATTCAAATTTCAATAAATTTCTAAAATTCAAATTTCACAATAATTTATTTGCTTAAATTAAATTTCTTGCAAATAATTAAAATTGAAACAGAAATTTTTGTTTTATTGCATAACTCATTAATTCTTTCAATTTATTGTTAAAAGTATATAAATTTTTTGAAAATTTAATATTATAAAAAGACAATAATATTTAATAATTTTGATTTCAAATAAATTTTTGACAAATTTTCAACTTCAACAAATAGAAAAAGTATTATCTTTAGCTCAGGCATCAATGATGGCTCGTATGGAAGCACTACGACGACTTCAACAAGGTATTTCAACAATTACCAATTTATTTTAATCAATTGATAAAATCTTTAAATCACAAAATCCTACTTGCAATATATTATCTTTACATCAATTTTTACCTTTTCTTCATTTCACTAACAAACTTTTCAATTATGATCAAATAAAGCAAAACTTTTAAATTAAGAAAGACTACGATATTTCACACTTATTCATTCCTTAATCAATCATATTCATATTTTCTATCTATCGCTTCTGAAATTGGAATTGCTAATACGAATTTATTGAATAATGAAAATTTCATGTTAAATTTTTTAAATTATCGAATTGAAATCAAATTACTTTGTCTTTCCCACCGTTCCGTTTTTTTTCCGTTTTGGAAGAATTAATGGAAACAAAATCAGAAATAGAAATAATTTAGGACAAAAAAAAAGGTGAAATTTGTCATTTTGTACAACATTTACTACTTAATCTTTTTTTTCTTTGGCATCATTTTATATAAATTTGTTGAAATTTCGACGGTAAAATTGATATCACCCGGGAAGAACAGTTAGAATTAATGAAATGTTAACAGAAAAAATTGTTCTCTTTTTTTTATTTATGTTGAAAAAAATGTATGGAAAAATGTGGGTAGAAGAAAATATCGGAATGAAAAAAATCAGTCAAATGAAATTAGATGAAAATTTTGAAATGGTTTGTGAATTTCTGAAATTCTACGAAAGAAAAGAAGGGATAAAGAAGGGATGGAAATTTTTCAACTAATATAAAGTATTTTTAAATAAAATAAAGAAAAGAATGATTAGCAAATTCGAAATAATATTATAAATTTGAATAATTAATCTACAAAGAAAAAATGAAATTAAATATTTTCTGTTAAAAAATTTCAATTCGTTTTTACAATAATTAATTATAAATAATATATTTGCATATTTTTTGTTTAATTTCAATTTTAAATATTAATTTGAAATAACAAACTTTTATCTTCAAATTTTTTCTTTGATTTTCACAAGAATTTCTTGATTATTTAAAAGAAATATTAATGTAAAATATTAAATTAAAAATTAATTTTCAAAATTACAAGTTGTCATTGCAATGAACTGTAAATTATTAGTATCGATTTCAGATCAAGTCGTCTCATTGCAAGGAAATCTTCCTGTTGGTAATGCCTCTCAAGGAGATTCTTCTGCTGTCGGAATTACCGCACAATTACCACCTGTAGATAAAAGTGTTGATTTGGATGGTGATGGTGCATTAAGTCTTGATGAAGTACAATATGCTGCATTTGTACATCATGGATTATCCAGTAACGTCGTCGAAAATCTTTTTAACGAAGTATTAAATTTGAAATGACAATAAATGTTATCATGCTATCATTTAGCACTATTAATATGAAACTTTTCTCACGCAAATTTAATGCAAAACTTAAATTTTAAATGGAATACTTATTTTTATATAATATTTAAATATCCAATATTTAATTATATATCTATTTTTTTGTGTACCATTTCATTCTTTTTCCTTTTTTCTAAAATAACTTTTCAATTAATTTATATAACAAAATTTGTGCTTTATTTAAGGTTGATAAAAACGGTGATAGTTATTTAACATCGATTGAATTCAATGATATACGACCATTAGTACTTGCAAAAGCTGAAAGTGCTGCACAACGTTATTTGCAAGTAATTTCACATTATAAGTGCTTCATTTTTGTTTTTTAATTTTCAAAATTTTAAAAGATTATGTAATTAATTTTTTCATCATTAAATAAAATAACATTTTTAAGAAAATTTTAATATTAAAAATATTAATTTCTTTTTTGTATTTATACTTTTTTTACAATAATATTTTTTCCAATTGTTTTAATTTTAGCGCTTTTTATAATAAAGTTATTATAATTGTTAAGAATTATTAATTTTCCCAAACTGATCTTGAAAATTAATTCAATAAAATTATAACTTTCAAATTTTATTTGTTAAAATAATTTCTTCTTTTTTTCAGACAGTTGACAAAGATCATAACGGATTATTGTCATTGAAAGAAGCGCAGGAATATATTTTTAAAGAATATGGAATTGGAAATCGTGATGTGGAACGTGTATGGCGTTTAGTGGTACCAAATTTAAGTGATGAAATGGATGCTACAATGTTTAGCAAATTACGACGACGCATTCGAGCAATGTCAATTCGGCTTGCTAGGCAAATTATGAAGGTTATATTTCTTTTTTCTTTTATTTAAATTTTTTAATTTAACTCTTTTATTTTTATCATGAAAATTTTCTCCAACCTTTCTAAAAATATTGCAAATAATTTTGCAAATAAAATGAGATGAATGTTTCATTTTTAAGTATTGATTTTATATAACATAATGAAGTTAAGTGTTATATTTATTTGATTGACATATATGCTTCTATTATATATTAATTAATTAATTAAGCTTATATTTTAATTAATGATAGTAATTTTTAATTAATTTTTTAAATTTTAAAAATTTAATTTTTTAATTTTTTAAAAATCAAGGTTATAATTAATAACATGAAATAAATTAGCTAAATTCCTAAATATGAAAGTAAATTTATTTCATAGCAAATACAGTAGTAAAATTGAAAGTATTGCAATTACACTTTTCCATTACGTACATGGAGCAGTTCAGTTTCAAAATTGTTAATTAATACTGACTAAAAAAAATTATTGAGATAGAATATTGTTCTAGAATGCGGATACAAATGAAAATGGACATATTGATATGAAAGAAGCTCAAAAGATAGCATTTGAGCAGGAAGGTATCAGTGCGGATGATGTAAATGAAATGGTAATATCTGTTGATGATAATAACGATGGTGAATTAAATGCACCAGAATTTGCTGATTTCGAACGAATTATTCGTTCACGTGCTATTGATATATCAAATAAAGCATTAAAGGTTATCTGAAATCTTTGAATAATTTTAAAAGATGAATAAAATTAAGGAATGAGTAATAATTATAATTTTATTTTATCATTGCATTTATTATAAAGCATTGAAAATATTTTTAATGAATAAATCAAAGAAAGGAATTATATTAATATATTAGTATTAATTATTTAATTATTATATTTATTTGTAAAGCATTTAAAGGTTTTAAAAAAATTTAAATAATTTTAAATGAAATAAATAAATAATATTAATTTAATATTATTTTATCAATACTTAGCTTTCTATTTTTTGGTGATTAGGTAGTTGATCGTGATGGAAGTGGTACTGTAACAATGGATGAAGCTAAACGTATCGCATTTGATCATTATGGTTTTGATGAAAAAATTCTTGGACCATTTTTTGCTCAGGCAGATGAAAATGAAGATAGACAGTTGGATCCAGTTGAATTTACCGGATTTCGGACAGTGATACGCAGTAAAGCTGTAAAAAATGCCTTAGACATTATGCAGGTTATAATTATTTGTATAATTTTTTTTCGTACATTACAAATTTTAGAATTAATATTTAAAAAATTTTTCGATGTAGAAAAAGAATTTAATGACAAAATTTACTAATTCACTTGTAATAAATAAGCTTATAAAAAAGGAACGAATTATTATTTTAAGATTAAAAATTAGAATTTTAATTATCACTTATTTGAATTATTATTTTAAAACAATATGTGGCTAATATAAATTTCTCAAAAAACTTCACAATGTCTAATTATTACTTTAGAATAGAACTAAATTTATTAAAGAAAAAATGTAAGTTAAAATATTTTATAAAAAATAAAAATTGAATTAATATAAATTGTTTTAAAAATACAATAAGGTAAATGATGCAAAAAGTATTATTTGATTTTCTTTTTTCCTGACAGATTACATTTTCTTTTCCTATTCAATAATTAATTATTGATTTACTTTCAGGAAATTGATAGTGATGGCGACGGATATATTAATAATTCCGAAGCTGTTGCAATGGCCCGACGACAAGATGATATGGATGCTAAAGAAACGTTTAATTTGTTTGTTATTGCTGATCAGGTAATAATATTTCGTATTCCAGTCAATATTTCCTATTATTTTTATTTAATTTTGTTAGTCTAATTTCAATTATTAATATTAATTATTTCAGGTAAAAAAAAGAGTTTGCTATAAATTTTGTGAATTATTAAATATTTCTTTTTTCTTGTAAATAATAATTTAAATCAATAAATCTTTTTTAAATAATTTTCTTCAGTAATTTTCTAAACAGTAATTTACAAGTTTTTTTTGCATAATTATATATGCTAAAATATTTTAGGATAAAAGTGGAAAATTAGACAAAGTGGAATTAGCTGATTTTTTACGGCTCGTACGACTAAGTGCTATTAAATTTGCTACAGATCATTTTAAAGTACGTTTTTCATTTCCTACGAATTTTTAAATGCTTTTTTTGAAGTATTTCTAGTAGCAATAAAAATAGAGATATAAAGTGATGAATTGTTGCTAATTCGATAAATTACCAAGCAAAAGTGTGTTGGAATTTTCTGATAATTATCAAATTGAAAAGTGATGAATTAAAATTTTAATTAATTATCAAACAGAAATTGCTAAAAATTTTGATGAATCATCATATGAAAGAGTTATCAAATTTTTGATTAAATTTATCAGACAAAAATTGTTAGAAATTATTAAAAATTTGAATAAATTTATCGTAAATATTTTGTCGTTTTTTCTTCACTTTTTTTTTTTACTTAGGAATTTGATATGAACAAGGATAAAATGGTAACAAATAATGAATTAGAAGAATTGATCGAATTGAAATATAAAGTTGAACGGTCAATAACACGACAAATTTTCAACAAAGTTGATGTGGATAATTCCGGTGATTTATCACCCGGCGAACTTGTTGATTTCAGGTATTTTCATCCGCAATTATTATCTTATCATTTCTTAAGAAAATTAATTCTTTCTTTTGTTTGCACTTTTTTGCTCTCATTTTTTACTTAGGCATGAAATCCGACGATTTGTTACGGAACGTAATTCACATCGGCCATACAATGCAAAAAAATCAAACGATCAAGATGGAGCACATGTTGGAAGTACTGAAGAAGTAAGAAAACAGCAATTCACTTCATTTCCTTCAACATCCAATAAAAATTCCCAACAACAACGACAACAACAAAAACAACAATAATAGCAACAATAATAAATGAATCATCAATTAAAAAAAATATATGAAATTAATATAATTTTTTTTGTTTTAATTAGAAACAAAATATATCTTTTCAATTATTTTTCAGGAATTTATTGAAAGGAAAGCATTAAAATTTGAATTACTTCAAAAAAAATTCATATTAGTAACTTAGAATAAATTAAGTAAATATTTTTTTCTTCTTACTTTTTTTAAATTAAATATAAAAGTTTGGAAACCAAAAAATCAAGAATAGTAAAAATAACGATAATAATAATAGTAATAATAATAATATTATCAAACAAATAAATAATAAATGATATTAATATTAATAAATAAGAATTATTTTAATT